CTTTCTTTCTTTCTTTCTTTCACTTTTCTACCACACCATTAGTCTGGGCAGTTCGCAACATTAAATAAAATCATATCATAAAAACACCATGCAATAAATAAATAGAAGTACCCAGATTAAAACCCATTGAGGGGGGTTCCACAATTGCAGAGCAACCACCGAGAAGGCCCAGTTTCTGGTAGCTGCTTTTCAGGCCTCTCTCAGGTTCAGCACTCTCAACCACCCTGCCTGCAACAATCTTACTGAATGGGCAGATCTAATCTGAAGGAGGCTTTCTGCCAGATATTGAGGTCCTAAACTGTTTAGGTTAGCACCATCACCTTGAAGCTGGTACAGAAGCAAACAGGTAACGAGTGTAAGGTAGCCAAGGTGGGGGAGATGTGTTGGCATTTCCTGACCCCACTCAGCAACCTGGGAGTTCTAGACTGCCTGCAACAATCTTACTGAATGGGCAGATCTAATCTGAAGGAGGCTTTCTGCCAGATATTGAGGTCCTAAACTGTTTAGGTTAGCACCATCACCTTGAAGCTGGTACGGAAGCAAACAGGTAACCAGTGTAAGGTGGCCAAGGTGGGAGAGATGTGTTGGCATTTCCTGACCCCACTCAGCAACCTGGCTGCTGAGTTCTAGACCTTTTGAAGTCTCCGTAACAGCTGCAAGGGCAGTCCCATGTAGAGAACATTGCAGTCGTCTAATCTCGAGACTACCAATGCATGAACTAATGCGGTGGGACATCCACTGTCAAGGTAGGGCCACAGGTGGGCAGTCTTCAACATGTGTAGATTACTCAACAGAATATACATAGGAGTTTACAAATAATAAAAAACCCAATGAAATCACAAATGTTACTTACTTCAGACTTAAAATATAAGATGCTGTATGCTTTCCTCTCTCTCTTTAGTTTGCTGTCAACTATAATTACTTAAATATTCAATTTTTAAAAAGCTGTTCAGAAAATATTAAAATGTTAAGAGACAGCAATAAAAGTTTAAACAGAAAAGCCAAATCTCACACTAAAATTCAGTAAGTGAACACCTGGTAGGAAAAAAATTATCATTATGCAGTATTAAAATGCTACTAGTGATTACAGTAGGACCCCCTTATCAGTGGGATTGGTACCTGCAGTTTCAATGTCCATGGTCTGAAAATATGACAAATATTAAAAGAAAAAATCCCACAAAACGTATTTCCATTGCAGTATATATTTGCAGTATATATAATTCTTCGGCTGACCGCCGAAGAATTGATGCCTTTGAATTGTGGTGCTGGAGGAGACTCTTGAGAGTTCCCTGGACTGCAAAGAGAACAAACCTATCAATTCTAAAGGAAATCAACCCCAAGTGCTCATTGAAAGGACAGATCCTGAAGCTGAGGCTCCAGTACTTTGGCCATCTCATGAGAAGAGAAGACTCCTTGGAAAAGACTTTGATGTTGGGAAAGTGTGAAGGCAAGAGGAGAAGGGGACGACCGAGGATGAGATGGTTGGACAGTGTCATCGAAGCAACCAACATGAATTTGACACAACTCCAGGAGACGGTGGAAGATAGGAGGGCCTGGCGTGCTCTGGTCCATGGGGTCACGAAGAGTCGGATATGACTAAACGACTGAACAAACAAAATATATTTATCAGAACTGGCCACTAGAAGGAGCCAGAGATCATGCTATGCATAGGATTTGCTATAGAAACATGCTATCCATGGTTTTCAGCATCTATGGGAGGACCCAGAACCAATCCCCTGTGGACACAAGGGTCCTGCTATATGTGCTACTATCATCCTCACATTCAATGGTCTTTGTTTTATGCTGACAACTGGCTTTGGCTGTTGCGCCTTGATTGACTGTAAGAGCCAGGGATCTTATTGAACGGAATTGCTCAAGCAACAGACCACTGCAGAAGTAGTTTGACATTTTTGCCACTTGCATAGGGAGGCATCCAGAGCCTTGTTGTGTGCAAACTTCAGTCAGGTAAGTTTAAAGGCAATGATTGCTTGCATAATGACACTGGTCATAAAAGGACACTGCTTGTGCAAGTGAAGCAATCCTGTGTTAACTGTGCAGGCTAGGCATTACAATCTGCTAGTGTTCAATATTGGGAGGAAAGCGATGACAAACCTTGACAGCATCTTAAAAAGCAGAGACATCACCTTGCCAACAAAAGTCCAAATAGTCAAAACTATGGTTTTTCCTGTCGTGATGTATAGAAGTGAGAGCTGGACCATAAAGAAACCAGACCGCCGAAGAACTGATGCCTTTGAATTGTGGTGCTGGAGGAGGCTCTTGAGAATTCACCGGACTGCAAGGAGAACAAACCTATCAATTCTAAAGGAAATCAACCCTGAGTGTTCACTGGAAGGACAGATCCTGAAGCTGAGGCTCCAGTACTTTGGCCATCTCATGAGAAGAGAAGACTCCTTGGAAAAGACCCTGATGTTAGGAAAGTGTGACGGCAAGAGGAGAAGGGGACGACAGAGGATGAGATGGCTGGACAGTGTCTGCAAAGCATCAACATGAATTTGACACAACTACAGGAGGCAGTGGAAGATAGGAGGGCCTGGCATGCTCTGGTTCATGGGGTCACGAAGAGTCAGATATGACTAAACCACTAAACGATGACAAGTGTTCAATAGGGACAAGGCCATGTGGTTCACTTTGTCCCATGCTTTTATTCTAAATTGTGCTTTTGTACGTAGTTGTTTGATTTCACGGAGGGTCCCTTTAGAGGGTCCCTTTAGGCACTCATGTTTGATTTGGGAAGGCCATTTAGAAGTTTTAAAAACAACAGACCGCACACCTTATCTAACAAATCTGTCCTTCCTATTGGAGTTGCATCGTGCAATTGTCCTTTGCTTTAAAGAAAGAAAGAAAAAAGATGCTAAGCTCCATTATCATTGCTCCAGCTGCTAACCGATAAGTGCCATGTGTCAAACAATTGATTTCAAGTCACCTATTTCACAACCATCCCAAATAGCAAATTAAAGTAAGCTCTTGACCTGCTATTTTGCAAAGTGCTTAACAACCACATCCCCAAATGTACAGTAATGATTAAAGTGAACGTGAATGGTCCAGCTGCCGAACAATCCAATATTCTTCATACATTTTAGCTGCAGTTGTAATTCTGTACTGCAAATTATTATGGCCAATTACTGCAAGGTATCTCTTGTAGAAATGTTGTATTGAGAAGGCAACAAAGGACAGATGTGCATTTAAAACACATGGATTACAAAGAGCTATGGAGCTTTGCCCACAATGCTACAGTATGTGATTTATTATGACTATTTCAGTGGTAGAATCTCTTATTATGCATCAGCTGTATTAGTTTTCATGAAATTCTATTATTCCCCTGTACACAGTTGGTACCTGTAAAGAATGGCTGCTAATTTAAAAAAGCAGGCACATTAAAGGAATAGCAATGTAGCATGACATGGGCCTCCCCACCCCCACTTCCCCGGTCATGAGATCTAGTATTGTGTTTCCGTGCTCTCTAGTTTGGTTCTCTAATTGATTTTAATAGACCGTGTCATCCCCTTGCCACCATGAGTTAAAAAAAACACTTTTATTAAGAATGTTCAACCCCCCCAAATGTAGTGTGTGGTGGGGAGGGGTTAACTCACATGGCACCAATAGGGAGAATGTCCATCACCAAAAAGAGTGTGGACAGAAGATGTTGCTTTATATTACATATGCTAATTTATAAGTTTTATAAAACAGTTTTTTGTGTGATTTAAGCATAATTACAGTGCATCTCACTCAAGTGGGGAAGAGACTAACCAGTGTCCTCTATGCTGACTGAAGCTGCTGTCCAGGAGCTAATATATGGGCAATTTCTAGGTAGCTGGCTCTCCTTCCTCTGGTTCCTAATCTGAACTGGAAACTCCCATCAAATGGAGGAAATGTTCAAAAGAATGATCATCCTTTGTGGGCCTTCACAGACAGGAGGTAGGGCCACTCTAACCCACAAACCCTCAATAGCTACTAAGAGGGCTGTCTCCACAGTGGTACAGAATCCACAGGTATTCCAGGCCACCTCTCCAAATAGTCTGTGATTCTTTTGTGACGAGTAAGTCCCCTCGTTGTGGAAGTACAAGGGACAGCAGATATCAGCTAACTATATTTATATATTGAGTGTTCTGCAGTAATCCCTATCCATTTAGGTCCCATCATCAAAAAAAATACCTAGGATCTAGATGTCAGGATGAGGGCTAGGGTGAAATACAGGTCCTTACACCATTTTTTTCCAGCCTGGTGCCCTCCAGATACTGTATATCAATCTAAATTCTATGGTTTATGGGTAAAAACAACACAAATCTTACTGAAAATAAAAGAACAATACTTATACATGGCATCAAAATACAGAGATTGAGGTTGGTTAATTGGCATGGGAGAAGTGGCATCCCATAAAGCAGTTGTGGGCAGCCGTGAACCATTGGCCACACATATTTCCCCATATCTTCCCCCCCCCCGAACTACTCTGCCATTTTGACTAAAAGCCATTAAAAGAAAACACAGAGAAACCAGGATTAAAATGGCCCCCAGCCCTGTTGAAGTTGCCCGCCTCGGCTGTAAAGGAATGACAACTGGAATGTTACTGGGACTGAGCAAAAGAGAAAGACTGGCTGTTCCGAAACCTTACAAAACCTACGACTGTATGATATCTTTTGGTTTTTATGTATCTGTTACGTCTGTATCCTTGCCCTTCAGCCAGATGCATAGCAGACTTTCCTGTGTAGTACTAACAGTAACCCTATGAGGCATGGTAAAAATGATGGGTCCAGTGGGCTTTATTTATGGTGAAGTGGATATTTGAACCTTTGTTTCACAAGTGTGTGGTCCATCATTCCACACGGATCTTTCACCTCTGCACTACCTTTCCCCAGCTGCTAACATAATAACATGGAGCACTGACTTTAAAATATGGTATGTCTCTCTGTGTGTGTGTCTTTCCCCCCACCATATAGATTTACAAGTGAAAGAACTTCCCACTCTTCTCCACTGTGCAGCAAAATTTGGATTAAAGAAACTTGCTTCCCTTCTACTCCAGTGCCCCGAGGCAGCTTGGGCTTGCAATATAATCAACAAATATGGAGAAAACCCAGGACATCTTGCAGAAAAGTATGGCCATAAGGAGATTCAGAAGATCATTAAAGAATTTTCAGTAAGTGTCCACTTTTCCAGATGACATGTATAATTATAATATGTGTAATTAGCTGTTTAGTACCCTGATATTATCCATTTTCTTTGAAGAGAGTGGGGGTACACCCTGTCCTAGTTTGAGATACCAGAATTATCCTTGATTTTCTTAAGAGCAGGAAGAGACATTCATTGCAGTAGAACTTGCAGATAAGCCTCTGAACAGGCAGCAGGTTTGCAAATATTATAAACTTACATATGAAAAAAGGAACAACACTTGCCTATATAGCAATGAGTATATCATGTTCGATGCAATGTAGATCTCATGTGTGGGAATGCTTCAATTCTGCAGCAATTTACAGAACTGTCTCCTGTATCGTAAGATGGAAGGTGAATGGTTGTAGATAACAAGAGCATCCATGTGACAGCTGTAATTTGGATCCAGTTTGCAACACCTGTGTATTTGCTTTTATAAATGTATAATGCAACTGAATACATGTCCACTCAAAAGTAAGTTCCTTGGGCTAGAATAACTGGCAAGTAAAACTGCACAAGTTTGCAACCTAATAATACTAGCACATGGTTATGATGTGCCGTAAATCACTTCTGACTTGTGACCATCCTAAAAGGGTTTTCTGGGTATGTAAGATGTTCAAGATATTGTTTAATGTTTCCACCACCCCCGCTGAGCCTCCATGATGCAGCAAGGATTTGAACCTTGGTCTAACACTCTTAGAAGGGACGTGGTGGCGCTGTGGGCTAAACCGCAGAAGCCTGTGCTGCAGGGTCAGAAGACCAGCAGTCATAAGATTGAATCCACGCGACGGAGTGAGTGTCTGTCGCTTGTCCCAGCTCCCGCCAACCTAGCGGTTCAAAAGCATGCAAATGCAAGTAGATCAATAGGGACCACCTCGGTGGGAAGGTAACAGCATTCTGTGTCTTAAGTCGTACTGGCCATGTGACCACAGAAGATTGTCTTTGGACAAAACGCTGGCTCTATGGCTTGGAAACGGGGATGAGCACCGCCCCCTAGAGTCGAACACGACTGGACAAAAATTGTCAAGGGGAACCTTTACCTTTACCTTTTTACCTAACACTCTTTCCACTACATCACACCAGCTCTCCACCAGCACATGGGAAGGCTAAAATATCTTTGAAAATAAAGAAACCTGTTTTGTATACTAACAATAGTAACCACGTGCTGTCAAAGCAATTCTGACTTACAGCGACCCTTTTCAAGGGTTTCCAGATAGAGAATACACAGAAGTGCTTTGCCATTCTCTTCTTCTGGGGATACCCTGGGGCTGTGCAGCTTGCCCAAGGCCACACAGGCTGGCTCTACTCGCAGGAGGCACAGTGGGGAATTGAGTTCCCAACCTCTAGCTCTGCAGGCAGAAACTTAAACCATTGAGCTATCCAGCCAGCTGTTTTGTGTATAGCTCTGCTATTTGGCACATTATATGACAAAGTAGGATATTGCCTTTTTTAAAACAAACAAGTCTAAGCCATCCAAAGCTAAGCACTTAACGATCCCATTGATTTCACTGGAAAAATTAAGCAGTTAAGGGTTTCTACTCTGAGTAGCATGTGAAGAAAAGAAAGTTAATCATAAACGGCCATTTTTGTTTTCACTAGACAGGACCTAAACACTGAATAGGCCAGGTCTGTAACACAGGGAGCAATGCTCCATAAATGGAGCAGTATCCCCCAAAAAATCCATTTTCTTCTCAGTTTCTCATTATATGCAGCCAGAATGTGAATATTCATTTCTTAGTCACAGAAGGAGGAAGGGGAAGAACAGATTGCCCAGCATGTGTTCTTATTGTGGGAGTTCATCCAGGGTGGCCTCAGGCAAAGGAAGGCTGGGACTGTTTCTCTGCTGAAGTGGTGCTGATGAAATCTGAGGTCTAATAAGAGCACTCCCAAGCTACAGCAGAAGATGCAAAAAAACAACAAGGAAGCAAAATGCCACCAGATTGTCCTATGTGTTAAACAGTGTCATGCAGATGGTTCAGGGTATAATATAGGTAAGCTTTCTGTTACTTTGATGTGACCTTATCCATGTGGGAATGAGAAAGCACTGCACTTCTAGAAGCTGGGTATGAAAATAACTCTGTTAAAAAGGCATTTCATCCTCTTATTCTTTGGCTGCCCAATTAGCACAGATGAAACTTAGGCTTCCTAAGAATAAATGAGACTCAGGTTGCCTGCTGGAACAGGAACTAATTACTGTACTTTTGGACGCTCTCCCGTGGTTGGGTGGTGATGGGAAGAATTAGCAGCAAATGTAATTGGTGCAAAAGTAATCCTGGGGCAGATGTTGAGAACTTGGTATACTGACAAAGGAAATTAAGCCCTGAATATTTTGCCTTTGCTTTCAGTAATTAGACACAAGAGTTTTAATACATTTGGGGTTAATTTTTACCAATGGGAAAAAAATAATTGTAGCACGTTACAGTTAATCAATTTGACATTTCTGGGAACAAACAGCAAAATAAGTTGGAAGGCTGGCTTTTGCCTTGGCATCAATGTTTTCAAAATAAATGTTTTGTTTTGAGGGATAAATGAACTTACAGTGGATTTTATTTTGGCATTTCTACTCAGCAGTAAGGACAATTAAGTTCAGCGGGACATACTTGCAATGGCACTTGTATATAACAGAGTGAGGAGAAGCTCCAGGCGCCGAGTGACCAGTCTCCTCAGACATGCAGACCATGCTGGTCGCCCCAGATGAACACAAAACACAAAGAGTAAAGCTGGTTTATTTCTGGTTTTGTTAAAAAAAACACCACTTTTAAAAGGTGTGGTCACCCTCACCTTTCCAAAATTATTTTCTTTTTTTTTTCACCAAAGATTTTTTTTTTTGCACAAGAGGACTGGGAGGAGCCTGGAGCCCACAGTAATGCTCTTGGGGCACTCCATGTGAACCACAGACCTCACGATTCCCTCCACTGATGTGCAGAAATGCAATCTTTCAGCAGTTAATGTGGGCTTTCTTTGCAACCCTTAAATTCAGAGCTGGACCAGGTTACTCTTATAAGCCCTCCATTCTGATTAGTTTCTGCATATGAAATAGGAGGGGCTTCCATCTTGCCCTCTGCTTCAGGTAGAAAAATGTCTTAGTTTGCCCTATGATTTTTTATTGGCAAAAATCCTGTTGATTAGTGTAGTAAATTGCAGTAGAATCAGACCATGGAATAAGTGAGGATATGGTAAGTCAGTTCATCCATTAATTCAACTGATTTAATTCATTATTTTAAATCAGATGGGCAGTGAAATTCTAAAGTTAACTTGGAACATTGATTTAACTATAGGATAGATAGATAGATAGATAGATAGAGAGAGAGAGAGAGAGAGAGAGAGAGAGAGAGAGAGAGAGAGACATCATTTCACTTCTATTGTGAAAAAGCAGTAGAAGGGAAATAATTTAGACCAGCTGTAGAGCAGTCTAAGGATCAAACTACATCTTAATGGGAATGCATGTTCTTTGTAATCAGTGCAATTTTTTAACCTCATAATGGGATTTCCCCAGAGACATGCACATCAGCAATATGTCTTGCCAATTAAGCCCATGCTTATTTTATTGATTGATTGATTGATTGATTGATTTATTTATTTATTTATTTATTTATTTATCTATCTATCTATCTATCTATCTATCTATCTATCTATCTATCTATCTATCTATCTATCTATCTATCTATCTATCTATCTATCTATCTATCTATCTATCTATCTATCTATCTATCTATCTATCTATCTATCTATCTATCTATCTATCTATCTATCTATCTATCTATCTATTTATTTATTTATTTATTTATACCCCGCCCATCTGGCCTGTAAGACCACTCTAGGTGGCTATGCTTATCTTTCAATAACTAGTCACAAAATAAAGCATGTGAAATGTAAGATATGTAGGTGACGAAAATCATGTGCTGTGGCAAACAAACTTCTTTCAGGACTTGAAGGGTCACTTCTGCCAAAAATATGTTACATGTATCATCTACTTAGTTTACCCTTCAGTGTCCTTCCATGTTGGGAATGTGGTTAAGGATTAGAAGGATTGGAATCCAGAGTCTTCTCTGCTTTAGTGACATTATGAACCAACTCATCTCTTTTTTACATTCTGCAAGGTCAGGCCTTCAGCTCTGATGTCAGAGGACTGTGGGTGTGTGGAACTTACTGCAAGGGTGGGAAGGACACAGTATTTCCTTTCTTCCTTTGAGACAGGAGTGGCCGCAGTAGGATGAAGTGGCCTGTAGAGATAGGAGATTATGATCGGCTGTTAATTTGGGAGAATGTATTTACAAAATCATCACTGTCTCCATACGGCTAGTGGTTGGAGACAGAGACCAAAGATTACTTTAGGAGATACAAATCAAACCTTGCAGTTTGTAACTCAGACTCACTAAATTCCTCCCTCATTATCTATTATTCCAAAGTCTAATTATGTTCCAGTGGTACTCTCTGAGTGAAGGTCCATTAAGTATTAGAGGTTGCTCCAGTATCATTTTAGGTTCTATTGGTAATCCTTTTTGAGTATTTCATTGAATCTGTATTTCCCAGGTGGTGGAGGGAGATATACCATTTGCACTCCAGAATCTGCCAGTTGATGAACGAATGTGCACATTAGAAACTTATGCCCAAAAAATGCCCACCTTAGAAACGTTTGGAAACCACAGCTTAAACATGTTTTAGTCAGTCAATCATGATGGAATGAATTCAAGCAATGTACAAACTTTAAAACATACATGCATTTTAAAAAATAAGCAAAACAAAGAACAAGCACACATTGAAAAAGGAGAGGAGAGGAGACAAACGGAAAGAGCATAAAAGTGCTGGATGGATCCAGTCCCCTCCAAAGCAAAAGCAAAGCATGCTGCTTATATACTGCCCCATACCACTTCAAGCACTCTCAGGATGGTTTACAATTAGGCAGGCTACACATGCCCCCCCCAGCAAGCTGGGTACTCATTTTACTGACCTCAGAAGGACAGAAGGCTGAGTTAACCTTGAGCCGGC